TTTTTTTTTTTTCTTTCCTTTTTTTTTTTTTTTTTTTTTTTTTTATTTTATTGGATTTGTTGCGCATTTTTTTTTTTTTCTTTTTGTCACGCCTTAGTGGTACCACACTGTTATTTTCATAACGCGCCGCTTTCCGTCCACCTGTCCTCCCTTATCCTTTTTACCCACGCATCGAATAATATCTACACGAACACCACATGTCTATATATACTTTTTTTTTTTTTTTTTTTTATCGAGTAATACATCATTGCTGCGGTACACGTAAGAGTAACATTTAAATGACGGCGCGGATAATATTCAGATTATCACATCAAAGTATGGTTTCGAGTAACGTAGAATTGATTGCTAATTTGATGATTAATTCGGTGACACGTGTTTTTACATTTTGAAGAAAGTTGATTCTTGCAGACTGGAAATTACGTGGAACACTCGTTTGTTTTCTCATCGTATTTTCGACAGTTTTCTGTCAGATCTATGGCGCCCGAGAGCTCTCAATACAAATACGAATGCGTAGTTTTTAATATCACGTTCGAGAGTCCATTAGCATCGCGTTATCTGTTCGTAAATGTAGCGCTAAATGCTTTTCCAATAAACCGTTTATCTTAATTGAAAGTAGAAGGGCAGAGCACGAGGTTGCTATTCGTGCTTTACTTTTAGCAGAGTATTGCTTGCGTGAAACATTTAAACTACACACGTAGCTGTACACACGCGTGAAAATTCCAATTCCATCCCTCCTTTCATTCTTTCTCTCCAATTTTTTTAACTGCACAGGAAGAAATGTACTGTTAAAGCTTCCGGTGTCCATCAAGTTCTGTTGATTACCTTAAACAAGGTAAGAGAGAGAAAATGATCATGTTGTTATCAAGAAACTCGATGGACCGCAGGCTGTTTCGAACGGCAAGTGTGATTACATAGGACTAAATGAAATCTTGGTGGACTATGCACAGCGAAAGAAAGTAACTATCTAAAGCTAAAGTAAGAAATATTCAGAATACCTTGTAGAAAGTTAATTGTAACAATTGTTACAGTGTTAGTGTATCATTCGCCTAAAATATATTGCAATTGTTCTACTGTTTTTTTTTTTTTTTTTAAATATAGGTTTGAATATAGGTATTAAGGATTGATATTATTGGCTTATACAAAAAATGATTGTGTTTTGTGATTTATAATATTTATGAAGATTTATGAATATTATGAATATAATATTCATTCATATAATAGAAGTTTTTTTTTGTTTTTGAAAATAAAATATACATATTTTCTTTATGCTCTTAAAGTAAAATAAAGTATATATTAGAATGGAGTATAATATGCTCAACACATTCAAACAGTGAAATAATGCGTTTTTCCTGAAACAGAAAACGATATTCTACTTGAATATTTTTTTTAAAATATAAAATCAATTTCTTTGTATTTCATGTAAGAAAAATCTTTCATAACTAAAATATTAAAACTAAAATGAAAATTTGAAACAATTTTAAAGGAATAATTTATTACAATGCTACAAATATATTCATTTTTTTTTTTAATTTCATGCACAATTTGTAATGAAAAGAAAAAAATATTTATGTACAAAGATATCAAAGATTCCTTTAAATTCTCTTCTAAAATCAGAATATTGAAAAACGAAAATAAAATGTATAATGATTGAAAAAGCTTATTATTAAATAGATTATAAATTAGAAATACAATATTAAGTAATCTAGAATTATAAAAATATAATATATAGAGCTGTAAATTGTAGAATGATGTAGAAACAGTGTTAAGAAAATTAAAGCAACTCTTTCACACTTTTTAAAAATACAAGAATAATTACAAATGAAACATTACAACTGAGCATAACTTTGTACCTTAATTTTTATTTAATATACATATATGTCATATGAGTGAAAAACAATATTAGTGGCCAATAATATCCATCGACTACCTTGTAATTATCTTGTTACAATTACATCCAACATACAACAGCTTGTCAGTTGACGTCTCACAATGGTTAACTTTCTAGTCCACCATGATTAAACCATTGCGAGTATTCTTCGTATTAGATGAGTGCCGGTTGTACGATGGTCGATCGTGTGAAGCTGTCTAATCGTTGGATGATTTTGGTTTCAGGGTGCCACCGGGTTACGTGTACCAGTCGCCTTACCTGGCGGCTGCGGCGCCAGGTGGTTTGGTACCGCTTCCGGCGACACAGTTGACCCATGCAGCAGCGATGGCAGCAGCGTCTCAATTTTACGAGTACCAAAACGTCGCGGCAGCGGCCGCCACGTATCCGGGGACATCGTACAATTTCGCCGAGGCGTATCCTTATACCAGCGCCGCTGCGGCTGGTATGTGTTTGAAAAGTGTCCAGAGCAAGGACAGCAACGGGCTGATACACCACCACCAGCAGCACAATGGTAGCAGCCCTGCGGTGCTGGCACACCAACGATTGGAGAAAGCTCTCCTGCCGCCCTTTCTGCCGTCCGTGCTACGTAGCAACGGTAGAAAATTATTAGAAAAACCAAACGCACTGAAACAGACGGAATGCAAGCTGTTAAACGTACGGGAATGTATGCGAGAGAGAGAGTGAGAGTGAATGAGTGAGAGAAAGAGGAATATCGTTTCTGTTATGGAGTAGCTTTACTCTCATTTGGAGGAATCTCTGCAAGATTCCCACAATTTATTCTCTGAATTATATGTTCTTTTATAAGTTTTCCTTTACTACAGCTTTGCTTTGTTAGATTCATTACAAAATTCATTTTTATCTCGTTCTTGAGAAATTTTGAAAAAAAATTCAGATTTACTAATATGATAAAAGTCTCTTTATTTTCATGTATTTGCAAATCGATAGAGTTATAACGTTGAAAGTTAATTTCCGAACGCATGTGCGCAGGAATTCTTTACGTTGTCCGTAGAAGCTTGCATGTTTCGTGGACGCTAAGAGTATACTTGATACAAGTTTGCGTAATAAGGTAGTTTTAGTAAAGATTAACAATACTTAAAGAGCTGCACGTGTCGACGTTTTGTGACACATTTTTTTTGACCACGATGAAATTAGCCTTTTTTGGGAACTTCTGAAATATTTCGTTTATTGCT